CACTTCCCTTCTTTTCATCTTGAAAATGCACCCAAGTTTCAATAAGAAATCTCATTTTGTTGTTTCAATTTATTTTTTAAATTTCTGTTAAGGTTGATTTGTTGAAGAACAAGTTAGGGTTTGACGACGCTTTCAATTACAAGGAAGAGAAAAACTTGGATGAAGCATTGAAGAGGTCAGGTTTTGCTTTAGTTTAGCTTAATTTGCAAGTCCATGATTAATGTAGATTCAGTCCAATTGCAAGAAGACATCCATCTTATCCTGATAGCAGTAAATTCTGAAGATAATACTATAGGATGCATGGATTGAAGATGATGATGTGCTATCTCCAAGTCCATTTTCAATGAAGGGGAAAAAAGTGCCATGCATGCAGTTGTTTCTAGTAAATCCTATGCCACCTTCTCATTCTGGACAGAAAAGTACTGTCAGCTTCAAATTCTGAGTCTACAATTTTTTGCTACTGCTTTCTGACTGATTCCAGGTACTTTCCCGAAGGCATTGACATTTTCTTTGATAATGTTGGTGGAAAGACAATTGATGCAGTTCTATTAAACATGAGGCTCCATGTACGCATTGCTCTCTGTGGAATGGTTTCACAATACCCACTCGATGATCCACAAGGCATAAAAAACCTGATGTGCATCATCTACCAGCGGCTTCGTGTGGAAGGATTTGTTGTCTGACTACTTTCGTCTTTTTCCCAAGTTCTGGAACTCCATGCTCCCTTATATCAGAGAAGGAAAGATAGCGTGTGTGGAAGACATAGCTGAAGGCCTTGATAGCTGCCCAGCTGCTCTGGAAGGACTTTTTACTGGCAGAAATCTTGGAAAGAAAGTTGTCTAGTTTCTCAGGAATAAAATTTCTGTATTGTAGGTTCAGTTGTGGACCGCTAGAACAGTATGGTCTGCTATAAGTTAGTCTTGTAATTAGTCTTTTCTTTCCCGTACTTCAGAAGGTCCAACATACGTAGTCATTCGAAGTTAATGATAACATCATCAAGGTTATCTCTCATTCATTTTGATATCTTTTATGTTTTGAAGTTGTCCTTCAAGTCATGTACATGCTGTTGGATGATTTTAACAGGCTTCTGTTGTGAAGGTAATTTCCTCATTTTGTGTTTTTAACACAAGAATCCTGCTGATCATGTTGTTCCCCTCGATGATCTTCTTAAATGAAGGCCAAAAGGTTCCTTTCTTGAGGTGGGATGAGGACATCATGAGTAGGTACAAAATGCAGCGTTTACCCTGATGTGACAAAGCCTGCTTATCAGAACTTGGCATTATATTGGCAGATAATGCGATGAGTGGTGACGAAAAAGTAACAAGCAGGTGATATTGAAAGACTATGTCTTCTCTGGTCTGCCTACGAATTCAGACATGACCGGTACCATCAAACTTAAGGTACCAGAAGGAACTCCTGGGATTCTAGTCAAGAATATGTATTTGTCATGAGATCCAGCCACGAGAGGTAGAATGCTAAGAAGGAACTCCTGGGATTCTAGTCAAGAATCTGTATTTGTGAGACCCAGCCACGAGAGGTAGAATGCTAAAGCCTGTTTGGGAGTGCTTTTCAAAAGTACTTCCGAAAAAATTTGAATTTTTTTTTTTTTGCTTTAAATTAATATGTTTTTGATATTTCCAAATTATTTTGATGTGCTGATCTTAAAAATAATTTTTAAAAAATAAAAAAAATATTATTAGCATATTTTTTTAAGTAAAAATTACTTTGAAAAACAACTGCAAACACACATAACGTGAAGGATATTATGCTGAGTCCTACAAGCCTCGTATGGTCAGTCACTCATACCTTCTCATTCTGTTTATATAGCATTTCATTGAAAAGATTTTATGTGATCAATACAATTGAGAATAGGGTTGTTGATGACTTTAGCTCAATTTTTCATGCAATGGTCTAATTTCCTGAGCTAATGCTTGTGTCTGTTTGAAAATAGTCAGCCTTTAAGTGGATATGGCGTGGCTATAGTTTTGGATTCAGTTCATCCAGAGTTCAAGAAAGGTGACCTGGTTTGGGGAGTAAGTGGTCCGGAAGAGTAAAGTCTCATTACAGCAACAAAGGGACTGTCCGAAATTCAACACACAGATGTGACTCTTTCCTATTACACTGGAATTCTTACTTAGCTTTTTTAATTTTTCTTTTTCATCTCAATTGCATCTTTGTTAAGGTTAGGTTACTGTAGTGCTACTGAAATACATGCATGGCTGGCAAGTGTGAACAGAAGTTTCCCTTTTGACATCCTTAGCAGATATGATATTGTGCTAGAAAACTTGCAAAATGTGACAGTTAGGTGCCATAAAAATCAAGGTCCCAGAACCAGAATGTAAGAATGGGATTCTTGTGAAGAATTTTATCAGTCATGCGATCCCTACATGAAAGGCCTAATGACAAAACTCCAAGGCATTCCCCTTGATCCATCTAAGCCTACTTTGATCAGTTATCCTATACCCATATGAGTTTTATCTCTGTTTCTATTGCCTTTCAAGTAAAAATTTGGATTCTGTACGCCGTTTAGTGACATGGGATTGATTTTAAAGCTACATTGAAGTGAAACTATCGGATTCTTATGCAAGTCTTGTGTCAAATTACAGGACTGAAATGGCTAAGAGTCAAGAAGGTGGTAATTTTTAAAGAGTCTAGATGACTTCATGTTGTAGAATGATCGGGTTTCTTATGTGTGTTCGTGTGGTTACTGAATTAATTGGTGACACTTGGATTCTTGAAATCATGCAAATGCAGCCTACGGGTGGGCGAGGAGTTGCTAAAGGATTGGATTCAAGACATACAAACTTCAAGAACAATATAGTCTTATTACAGAAACACAGACACTACTCGCAATTCATGACCGCGATTGGTTCAATTTATGAAATTCAGAACACTGTTTTGAGATAATAAATAGGTTTCAAAATCAAATTATTGTGCTTGGAGATTGGTAAATTGAAATTTGTGCTGGAGCAGACTAAGAAGTCCTTGCATCATCCTCTGGACTGGTAGCACGAGGAGCAGTAGTACTAAGCAGAGTGGAACCAAGTTTTGAAGCAGTAGTGGAACCAAATGCTGGAGTGGACGAAAAGTTTGCACCAAATACCGGGGCTTCATCACCGAACATTGCAGGAGTTGAACCGAATGCTGTCGTAGACGAAGTATTTGCAGCAACGTGTGCTGTCCCAAACAGAAAGGGCATGGGAAAGTCGTTTTGCGTCTTGGACAGGAATCAGAATGCCCAAAGTGCAGACAATAGGAGCATCTAGATGTGGGCTGCCATTCATACTCAACCTTTTGATCATAGCTGTAGCCCTTGTCATCCTCAATGGTGATTGAATCAGGTAATATCTTATCAAAATCCACTTCGACACAAACTCTCGCAAAGCACAATGTCTCTCTTGATGCTGTCACAGTATCAGCAAACAAAGGTCTGCCCACCAAACTTACAATCTTGCCAAGTGCCTCAGGAGACCACAGATGCAACCTCAGATTCGGTAACTTAATCCAAATCGGTGCTGACTTCAACTCTTCGATTTCCAAGCTCATACCACGACTCCATGGCTTTAAAATAAAAGGTTTACTACCATCATAAAACCATGGACCCTCACCCAATGCCAACTCCTTGCCATGAGCTGATTCAAAATCCAAGACAAAAACTCCTGACCCTTTTGAATATACCTTTACATTCCCGTATTTTCTCCACTCCGAGTCGACTAAATTGTTGATAAACTTGTTGAAAGAAGGTGGACCGAAGGTTGAATCATGGCCAAGAAAATAAGCAACCGCAGCGTTTTCCCATCTTTTAGACTCCGACGCAACATCCTCTTCATTAACGAGGGCCAATTCCTTTCCATTCTTGGCCACAGGTTCTACGAACTTCAATTCCATCCTCTTGTGCAATCTGAATATTCAAGTAGCGTTGTAAAATAGAAAGGCTAGACGAAAGTAGGATCTGGAATCAAAGATGTTGCTATGTACTCCCTGCCATGCACATGCATGTATATATACAGGCACTCGGGCCGGTAGGTGTTGGCGAGTAGGAAAACCAAGTACAAAGCCTCAGCTCAACGCTAACTAATCAAAATTACGAAGACAAAAGCCTCAGTTGGACGCAAACGAGTGGAGTTGGAAACGCGGAACATGATGGGAAGCATCGAGTGAAGTGCATGTGATCTTAGAACGAATACATAAATAAATTATTACTTGATATTCATTCGACTTTGTCTCACTCTGTTTGATGACGTAGTGCGTTCTGTTATTATTAAAAATACTTTTTATTTAAAATGTATTAAAATAATTTTAAATTTATTTTATTTGATTATAAAATCACCACATTACAATTATAAAAAAAAACCATTAAAATAATATTAATTTGATGATTTTATAAAGGTAAAACAATTTTAAAAAATACCTAAAAACATAAGTAAACTCACTCTTAATTAAATATACTCTAACCAGTAGGATACAATTCATATTTTATCTCCATTATATATTTAAAAATATTTGTTTATTCCACAAATATTATAGTTGTGCTTAAATCTCACCGAAAACTCTATATTTAGTCTTTAATATATATATATATATATTATATAACTTTTTCTCATTATTTATTTTCAAATCATAAACAAAAAAATAATAATAAAACTGCCTCAATCACAAATTTACACTCATTTCTTACACTCAATTCTATTGCTTTTCTAGTAAAGGTTACTTATTTTTACAACTTGTTACAAACTTGATACGGTAGATCTAGAGAAGTTAATAAATTTCTAGATGCTACCCGAAAAATTTAAACTCAAGAAATAAAGACAGAAAATATACCTCTTTAATTATTAAGTTAATCCCTTAGTCGAAAATAGGTTTCAGGCTATCTATAAAATTCAAAATAATGTCTAGAAAATTAAAGGCTAAACTGTCAAACATCCAAATATTAGGGACTAGAAAGATAACTTATCCTTAAAATCTCCCAGCTAAAACACCACTCCCATGACCAGCTGTCCATCCTCTGTCTACATTACAGAGACGAACTGAAGCGACAACCGTGAAGTGAAAAATGGAGAGTGATGCTGGTGAAGTGGTGAGTAACAAGCAAGTGATCTTCAAGGACTACGTGCCTGGTGTTCTTAAAGAGTCAGACATGTACATCACTACTAGTACTATCACACTCAAGGTCCCAGAAGATTGTACTAACGGTGTTCTTGTAAAAAATCTTTACTTGTCTTGTGATCCTTACATGAGAAACCGAATGAGAAACTTTCAGGGCTCTTATATTTCTCCCTTGAAGCCTGGTTCGGTGAGTTACCTTAGATCCATTCGAGTTTTATCACTGTTTCTCTTGCTTTTAGCATGTTTTGAAGCAAAGATTGCTTCTTCTTTTTTGCTTCAGGAATTGAGTTCTTGTAATTAATTTTTAACATGGTTTTGTTCTTAATTATACCATGAAGTGGAAAGTCTGTAGCTTTTGTGGATGTTTTGTGTAAGTGTACTTGCTTTGAAGTGGATGGAAATTATGGAGATAATAGCTTACTTTAGCTCATAAAATAATAGGTTTTGTTGTTTGTGTGTTACTGAAGTAAGATGTGACCTTTTTTTTGCTTGGAATTTGCATGAATGTAGCCTGTAAGTGGGCGTGGAGTGGCTAAAGTTTTGGATTCAAGGCATCCGGATTATAAAAAGGGCGACTGCATTTGGGGAATGACTGGATGGGAAGAGTACAGTCTGATTACAGCAACAGAGACACTATTTAAAATCCATGATAAAGATGTGCCCCTTTCCTATTATACTGGAATTCTTGGTAAGCCTTTTCGGCTTTTGTAACTGTTCTATTTATGAAATCAGATCATTGTTGGTGCTAATAAATTGATTGAAATTTTTAGTGTTTTGTTTGATTTTTTGAGAATTCTAGAAAACCAAACTATTGTGTTTCGAACTCGGTAAAGTTCGAGTTATTGAATGGGGCGTGGGAAGCTTACATTTTTTATGATTATGTTGATGATGATATGTGGATCAAGAGAAATGAGACCCGCTTCTTATAGTGTGCATGGTGTAGGGCTGTTATTGATTCTTCTAGTCATGTCAGGGTATTAATTTGTTGGCTAAACTGTGATACATTGTGTCCTGAGAGTAGACATGCTTGCCTTCTATCTCGTCAGATGCTTCTTTGTTTTGATTCCTCATTCGGTATGCTCAATGATCTCAGAAAATGATTTCACGATACTGGCTGTTGTTCATCAACCTTTGGAGGTTTAGAAGACCATCTGCGGTTCTTAACCTCTCAAGGTTCAGGGCAACTAGAGTGAGACACTGCTGATATAGATATTACCATAACTATCATTGGTTTCCATTATGATTTCTTCTTCTAGGAATGCCGGGTTTGACTGCTTATGCTGGCTTCTATGAAATATGCTCTCCTAAGAAAGGGGAGTTTGTTTTCATATCAGCAGCCTCTGGTGCAGTTGGTCAGCTTGTCGGGCAGTTTGCAAAGTTGTTAGGTTGCTATGTTGTCGGAAGTGCTGGAAGCAAAGACAAGGTATGTCTACTTAGTGAATGTTTATGGTTATTTGTGTTTTTCCTGCTTTATTTGGCACTGCTTCTCGGTGTAATCTGATGCTGTTGCTTTTCAAAGTCTGGAACACAATAAAACTTGGAATTGCAAACCTGCTTGAAGAATAAGTTATTGTACAAAAGACTAAAACGCTCATCGCTATTTGGAAAGCTAGGCAAAGGCTGCCAAATGGCAAGCAAAATATATCAAATGGAAGAGCCAGAAAAGGACGGTACATGAATGTTCTATTCAATAGGTTCCTGGGAATTTCAGTGTCACACAAATCTTAGGCACCATGAAAAAGATGGTACATATTCTTCTCCTGAAAGCTTACTGTTCTAATAATGTACCAATGAGGATCTAAGTTCGTAAGTAGCCTACAAGTAAATGCTTCTAATCAGTGTCCAAAAAACAACATCTGAATAGCCTAGAAAACACAAGACTTGCAGAAAACACCAGCATTTGACAAAGATTTTACATCCTTTTGTCCATAGGAAATTTTAAGGTTAGTCCTTTTGTCCGTATGAATTTTCTGTCGTTCCATTACTTGCAAGTTGCAATGAACAAGTATCTGGACATCCATTTCCTTTTACAATACTCTGTCTATTTATGGTTAGAAGCTTGTAAAAAATCTTGACTGAATTTAGGGATAAAATTGTGTTAGACAAGGATATTGTTTTGCTTGATATTTTTATTTCAGTCTGAATTTTGGGGAAAAACATGGATAGAATGTAGTTCAGTAAGTGACAGATATGGTGCCAAGTAGTTCAGTAGGTTGTCCTAGATCTGCATCAGCTCCCAAGGCTTCCCATTACCATTTCCAATATTGTGTATGCTTTCCTTTTCCGTGCATGACAAAGTAGGTAATTTTGCAAGTTATCAGAGGATCAAATGGCTCTCCCTTTGTGTCATGGAAGTTAAATAGATAATTTTCATCCTATTATTTATTCTTCTGTCAAAGTGAAGCAAGACATCTCATTAATTATCTTCTTTTTTATTTTTGTTTTCTTGGCCTTTGCATCTCCTATCCTCTCATTTCTGTAATATAAGGTTGATTTGTTGAAGAATAAGTTTGGCTTTGATGATGCTTTCAACTACAAAGAAGAGCTCGACTTGGATGCAGCATTGAAAAGGTAAAATGGAACCCTACTGAAAAAAAATTGTATACAGCTGTAAGATGTTAGGAAAAAAAAACCTGTAACATCTGTTTCAAGCTGTGAAAGAAGGCATCTTAAACTGGTTAAAGAAAGAGCTGGTGGATTTTGTATGGTCTGCTTTATTGCCTTGAAATTCCTATTCATTGGTCCATGGTAAGGGATTCATATGATATTCCAGTGGTGCAAGGGAGTCTAATTTTTTTTGTTTACAGCTTTTAGTCAGCATAGGTAAACCTAAATACTTTTCTTTTTGACATTTCCCCTTCAAGTTATTTGAGGGTAAAATCTTAAAACCAAATTTGCTCTATCATTTGGCAGGTACTTTCTTGATGGCATTGATATTTACTTTGAAAATGTTGGAGGAAAAATGCTTGATGCAGTACTACTCAACATGAGGGTCCATGGGCGAATTTGTGTTTGTGGAATGGTCTCACAGTACAATCTCGAGCAGCCCGAAGGTGTTCATAACTTGATGCATCTTGTGCCGAAACGCATTCATATGGAGGGTTTCTTGGTCTATGATTTCTTTTACCTGTTCCCAAAATATCTAGACATGGTTCTGCCTTACATCAAACAAGGAAAGATTGTGTATGTGGAAGACATAGCAGAAGGCCTTGAAGGTACTCCGGCAGCTCTAACTGGACTCTTCGCCAGCCGCAATATTGGAAAACAAGTGGTTGCAGTTTCTCGTGAATGACTTTTTTAACACCTGCATTTTACTTCGATCATGATCATTGCTGTTTGTCAAAGCATTATTCTTGGATACACAGCCAGGTACTTTCGAAAGCCTGGTGCCGTCACTGTGATACTCCAACTATTTTTCCTTGTCTCTAATTAAAGATAGTTGAAGTTATGTATCAGTATTGACATATATTCCTATTGCCATGTGTTATTCCTAAACATTTACAATACTTGCGTCTGGGAGGTTTCCATTCATACTCAACACTTACTCTACAGAAACTATGCTCATCTTCAACAAGAACATCAGATGGTAACTCCGAACGACCGTTCACTTGGACACAAATTCTTGGAAATTGAAGTCTTCCACTTGAAGGAGTTAATAATTTTTCAGTGAACAAAGGCTTCACAACCACACTTGCTACTTCCAGATCCGTCAGTTCAACCACAACATTTTTCAGTCCCTTCACAGGTTTGACAGCTCTAGCTTCACTCTAGCAGCCTCTGGTTGATTCATATTCTGGGAGAAGTGGGGTTATATTATGAGATAAAGAAACTGGAAAGGAGAAACAAATTTGAAAGCAGTAAGAGACCTCAGCTTTGTGGGTCTGAAGAGATGAAAAGAGGCCTTACATATGAATCTAAAAGGGAGCCTGAAGGGTCCTGTGGAAGATAAAGATGGCCAGGGACTTTCATGAATTTATATTGAGAATTCAGTAATCTTCTTGAGATGAGGAGACACGCCATAAATAAAAACTTCAACATCTTCGATACTTGGTGGAAGAATCCATTTCATTGTAAATATTTCATTATTCAACGCTCAAAAAATCAACTATTGTTCATTAGACTTGTGCCACTTAAGTTTCTCTTTTCCAAATTTCTATGTTAGCATCATAACTATGCCAAATAAATTCAACATGATCTTACCAGAAACAAAAAACGAGAAAGGCAAATTGGTGTCTTCTGCACTGGCTTTCAAACCCTTATCAGGAGTGTAGAAGTCTACCGGCAAGCTAACTCTTGGGGAAAATGTAAGAAATAGTAGCATTTCCACTGAAATTAATGTTTTGTACAAAGTTTTTTTTAATAATGCTTCGTTGATCTGCATGTGTATAAGAATTTATTCTTCATTTTTATGATCTTAGCTCCAAACTAATTTCTCAGTTTAGCATAAGCATTCCTTTCAAAAAATACACCATGGAGCTCTTTATAATCACACAATAATAATAATAATAATAATAATAATAATAATAATAAACAATAGGACCTGTCTTCAATGATTCAATGAAAAAATACTTTAACATGGAAAGATTTCTTAAATCCAGAATTATAAAAACTCTAATAAGTGGAGTATATAATTATTTCTTATAGAAAAGATTATACATTTTTTTAATAGAAATCTTTTCGATATCGAACATATAATAAAAAAGAAGCTAATATAACTAAATAAAATCATTCTATGTAGAAGCAAAATCTTCACCATGTCATTAATATCTAGCAAGAACATCCAAAAGAAACACTAAAGGACATATTCATGATCACTTTACATTTCTCAAGTCTTCACATTTCTCAAGTTTATGACTACACCTTTGACCATCATGTTAACTGTTATCCAAGCAAAAAAATTTGTGTGACCTTCTTTTTCTATGAACATAAACACGAGGAATCCTAATAAATTTTCTCTTTCAATGTGACAATGAGTATGACAATGAGGAATGCCATGTAATTAAAAAAAGAGATAAAACAATAGATCATTAAAGATTATCTCTATTAATTTATGAAGAAGTAAAAGCAGCTAGCTAGGAAAAGAAGTTTGTACATTTGTACTTGATATGCTACTTGAAATTAAATAATCACTAGATTAACTCTAAAATTTATATCTATATCTTTTGAATTTTTTAATAAAATAGTATTGTTTCTCTAAAAAAAAATCTTTGTGTAGTCTCTATGTCTCCCCTGAAAATCTCCATGAACTCCAACAAAGGTCTCCAGGATGATCTCCATGACTAATATCTCTATGAAAAATATTTATGGTCTATATTTCTAAATTTTCATGAGCATATGAAAATTTCTATATCTCCAAAATCTATCTCAATAATAATTTTTGACACTCTACAAAAAATATCTTCATGTCTTCATTATATCTCTATAAATATGGTATTCACTACTAGAAAGGTAACATATTTTATAATGATAATTTATACAATAAGTATTTTCTCCTTCACTTCTAGCTAAAATCTCTCAAACATGTTTGTTTAAAAGACTTGGGTGAGTAATTGTAACATTCCTAAAATTTTATGCCATTTAATACACATAAAACATTACATTTATAGTAGAAAATAGGATTTTTTTTTTTTGTAGTATCAAGAATCCTTCTTATTTAATAAGGTTTCATACTTTAAAAATATGAATCTATCAATTTTAAAGACAGGTCATTGTTAGTGGTATCGATCAACTAATTCTTTTTATCTAGGTGATCAATTTGTTCAATTAAATTAAATAATAATTTATTTTTATTGTTCAATAGTCAACCAATTTAGAGAATCTAAATGGTTAATCGATTTACCTATCTACATTTTATAGTAACCAATTTTACTATTCAATCCTTTCAAGTGATCAACCGGTTTATATAAATTAATTTAAAACATTTTAAATCATTGTCCACCACTCGGGACAATTAAGTATCTTACCATTTGTGATTTACCATTTGAAACTTTAACATCTTTAATATTTTTTGCAATTTAACATTTTTAATTTATGGATGTTTATTAATACCTTGCAAGAAATGTTTTTTCTTAATATTTGTAAATTTATAAGCTACCATAACATTTAATGATAAATAAATACATGAGATTTTCTTTTCAAGGATTTAAAGTAACCCTATAGCAAAATATAATTAAATCATCTAAATTTCAAGCTAATTAACTTACATTATTCATGGTAACATCTAACATTTTAGTACAAGCCCAAATTATAACATTTCAAGTAATATTATATTTCAAAATGACCTAATAGTTAATTACATTGCAAGTTTTATATAAAAGTAAGATCACTAAAGAGCTAACAACAAGTTTTATATAAAAGTAAGATCACTAAAAAGCTAACAACCAATGTGATACTAAGAGGTATTTAAAATTTTATTTTATAAAAATTAACCATACTCAATATATATATATATATATATATATATATATATATTATTTTGCTAGTCATAAAAAATTAACGACTTTATCATATAGGTAACAATTAATGACCCTAGTTTCATGCCATCTTTTGATTCTATTAGACCTGTAAATGGGCCTTGCAAGATCAACGATTAGCTCAAAATTCCTACCATGCTCGCTACTCTAATTGGAAATAATGAGGGAAGTGTTATTAATGATTTAAGCTCTGTTTGTTTTTTGGTATTGCCTCTATTTTATCCCTAATATATATTTAAAAGTGTTTAGTTAATCAACACACCACAACTTTGCATGGAGCTAACTAAAAACTCTATTTTGAAACTTTAGTTGAGATAAAATTATAATTTGTAGCTTTTATTAAACCTATATTTTTAAACTATAACTACAAAAATTACAACAATTATAAGTATATACTTAGTATATGCATGCTACCTATCTTATTAATTTCTACTTCATAATTTACAATTATAAGTACAAATCTTACTTTGGCTTTCAATGTTAGAACTTTTCTTTGGTCTAATTGTGTAAGCCTTTTGATATATAAAGAAAAGGTGTGCTATTCCATTTTATTTTCAGAGACTTTATTATAATAAAAAAATAATTTGTATTCATTAAAAAAACATTGAATTTAAATAATATTAAGTAAAGCATACATTGTAGTGATAAACTTCTTATAAAAATTGATTGCTTATTAAGTGAAATATACACATTAAAAATTCTTATAAAGTTAAAAAAAAAAATAGAATTACACTTAGAGCAAATCAACCGTTGAATACATATTGTATCCTCGGGAATATTTTAAAATTAAATATTATCACAACAATATTATATTTATTATTATAAAAAAATATTTATTTTCTTTAATTATAAAGACAAAGTTAACCCTGGTATGCATGTACGTGGATGATTAAGATTTTATCATGTGGGTGAATTATATATAAAAGTATATATATAATTAAGAAAGAACAAATAAAAAGGATGAAAATAATATTATTATACACAAGAAATATGGAATGGATGATTGATAGTAAAAGGGAAAGAAATAATAAATAATTAATATGAAGAAAATAACTAATTTTGCATAAAATGAGTTTTCCAAATCCATTAAAGAATAATTATTTTGATAATAAATAATTTATTTGGCGCTGTTGCTTAAGCTTTTAACAGCAATTTATCGGTTTTCTTGTAAAGTGTGTATTATGCATGATTTATGCAATTTATCGGTTTTCTTGTAAAGTGTGTTTTATGCATGATTTATTTTTATTTTTTATTATTTATTTATTTATTTTTGTAGATTCTTACTTATTTAAGTAAAGGTTTATTTTATTCAAAGAAGTAAAAAATAACAATGAAAGAAAAGGAGCTTTTTAGATGTGAAACGCAGTTCGCCAAACCAAGCCGCCGATGAACATCTAAACAATTGTGTATCAAATTAACCCAAGGTGATTATGGTTTGAATTAAACAATGTAGGGCCCATTTAACCTCTAATTAATCCAGTGGCATTTCAGTAGAATACAAGAGAAGTAAGGGCAAACTCAAAGGGCGGGGGCCAAAACAACTCCTCCCTCTTAATTTCAAATCAAACAAGTCATCATCACTATTCACTTTCTCCCTCTTTAGGATTGGATCACAGATTGCACTATCTCTACTCCTTTCTCCTACCAAATGAACCAATCATCATCAAAAACCCACAACCAAAAATGCCCATCTGCAGCATTACCAGAACAACCCACCAAGACTCGAAGGAGAAAGAAACAGCAGCATCATCAGCCAAGTTTTAGAAGAAACCCACTTCAAGATCTCAACAATGGTGGCATTGACACCACCAGCATTGACAACAGCAGCAATGCTTCTTCTTTATCCTCCATTGAAGCTCCTAGGGGCTGTCTCAGGTTCTTTCTCTCTCACTCTTCTTCCTCTTCAAGTTCTGCAAAAACCCCTTTTAGTAGTAGTAGTAGTAATCAAAGACTGACAAAAGTAAAGCCCTCGAGAACTGCTAAGTCAGCTCCTAGTACGAGACCCACGAAGGAGAAATCCATTTCAAAAAAGGTGGAGAAGGGGAAGAGAAACCGCCCGCCATGTCTATACCAGTGGCAATCTGGTATAAAGCGCGTTTCCTCTAGGAATGAAGTTGGTGATTATAAAGTCTCTTCCTTTTTGGAGTCAAGTGGCAGTCTTGTGAAAAATAAGCTGAAATCTGGGCCTGGAGAGTTAAAAAAGGTGATGATCGATGGAGTTTGTGAGGGTAGTGGAGCCAATTTGACTCCTTTGTGTAAAGAGGGAACCGGGTCTGGTTTGAATTTAGGAGTTGGTGGTAAGGTTATGAATGATGATTGTTATGAGAAATCATCAAACGGTAAAGCTGAGTCAATCTCGACAAGTAGCAATACCAAGACCCCTCCAGTTCAGCCCTCGGTATCACCAGAGATACAATGTGGGTCATCTATGAAGTTGATGACAGTGGAAACGATTACTCCTGCTACTTGTTATGGTGCTGGTCATGTTGTGTCTGGGGTTACTGACAAGAGGAAATGTAGGCCTAGAGGGATACTCGCAGGAGGAGAAGCTAAAGCTCTTGGTAGTTTTGATAGCGACGATGATATTGAACAAGCGAATGATGTAGGGCTTATAAAAAATTCTGATGTTTCTATGTTACCTTTGCCTATTGACGCTTCAATGCATTGGCTTTTATCACCTTGTGATGAGAAGGATGAGGTTCAGAAGGAGAATTCTCGGAACGGGTCACGCCGTTTTAGGAGATTGGAGGAGCGTGCCATACACAACTCTCCTGCTTCACCTTCATCTGGCTATGGTGGTTTTTCACCGGAGTTATTCAATACCAGTGCGAACAGGAGTATTTCTACTGTTAGTGCTGGGAGGAGGAGTGCTTCTTTGCTTTCTCCCAGCGCGCTCCCTGTCCCTCAGTTTCAAGGATTTCTGGGAACTCCTTTATGCGATAACTTTCCTGTTTCATCCTTAGAAGAAGAGACGGAGAATCGACATTGCACTGATGCAGAGAATTCTCCATTCTCCATAGGCTCGTTGGGTAGTGGAAATGTAATTCGAACTCCCCAATCTGATACTAGCTGTGATAGACGAGTCGGTGCGTCTGGGACACAAGTAGATAGTAAGAGAAAGAAATGTAACTTTGATTCTGATCTCAATTCAGTGGCTGAGCAGCTTCAGATGACTAGTTTATCTCCCATGAGCCATGCGTCAGTATGGGATCCAACCAATTCAAGTTTCCGGTTTGATTCTCTGACCATGCCTTCCAATACAGTCGATCTTTCCAAGTTTCACAAAATTTTGGAAGATCGGAATTCTTGGTTTTCTAACTCTACAATCGAGAATGTATCACAATCTCAGATAAGAATATCTTGGAGGGAAGGGTTGGTGAGTCGTATGTTTGAGATGGATGAGTTTGATTGTTGTAGATACTTGTCTGATGAAGAGGATGATGGCAATGTCTGCAATATTGATTGCTTAAAATCTCATACGAGTCCTCAGCTAAACGTTGAGGCCGCAACTGATCACATTTCAATGAATGGTATTGGATCTACTGAATTTGTAAAGATAGAACAGGATACAGGTGGCAAAACCAAGGATGGCCTCCCTTCCCAACCACCATGTTCGTGTGCAGAGTCCATAACCACCGATGGAGGTGGTCTTGTTCGTTCAGATGATTCAGATTGGACCCTATGCTACAAGAACCATTTGTTTCAAGCATAATTCCTCTCTGTTATCTAATTCAATGAGAGAAAATCTGACTAACCTCAGCTTAAAAGTGGTTCTTAATGATCACTATTGTACTCTACTTGTTCCAAAATTTGTATTTCAATTGTATCTCTTGATTTTCCTTTGTTTGAATATTGTTATTCATTATGTTATCTTAAATCCATTACCACACTATATGCCATTGCTAAATTGTGAGAAAAAAAAAAGATCTAATTTGGATGTTTTGGACCTCAGAATGTATGTTTTCTTCTTGTTCATAGCTTTTTTATTTTCCTACTTATTTTAAAAGGTGTCAGAAGACACAGCAGCATAGCATAGGAAAAAAAAGGAAGCTGGTAAACATAGGTTGAGAGCTGTTTCACAGACCATGATGGTGTATTGTTACTTGTTGGCTAGAAAGATGAACCAACCTTTCAGTTTGAAAGTTATAACAGGGCAAGTATGAAAATACCAAGTTGTGCCATCTCAAAATAGGTAAAATACATGCTGAAACGACTCATATGCTGGATACAGCATTAGCTATTACTAAATATAGCAATTGAATGTGTAACAGAAATGTAATACAATTAAAATTACAGACCAAGTTGCATGAGCCATGAGTTTGATGCTCTCAAAAGTACTGTTGGTAGAAGGTTTATAACAAGTTAAAATTCACAAACCAGCTTCTGATCTCTGGATGTTCTAAGGAGTAATGATTCAGAGGTAAAAATGGGAAACAGAATTAGATGATAAGATCGTGTTGTGGCAAATAGAAGAGCTTTTCCTTTGTCATACGAACAGGTTTGAGATCAAAAACTCTTTACAAAAACCCTTTTTTTCCAACCTTTTTTTTCCTGTCACTGGTACAAATAGACTGGCAATATTATAAGCTCTGTCTTGCAGTGATTGAGCATATTGATTTGGCGGGTTGTGGTCCTGTTGGGAAGTCACAACTCCACTATAAAATTGATGGTGCAAGAGGCCTATTTGCTAATACTGGATTCACCATCTTTGGCATCTTGTGTTTGAGGTAACTAACCCATTTCACGGATCTCATATTAAATTTCAATGTCTGAATACACGTAGAAACAAGCTTTCAACTAGAATTTCATTGCCTAATTGAACAAGCTAGTTCCAACAAGTCACTCAGCAAAGGAAATCTCACATAACATGTCACATTCTTGATGTATCATGGATTGTGGGAATTTATTTTTCTTTGGGTATGCATGTGGAAATAATTTTTTAGTTATAGGAATGGCTTGCTGAAGTAGAGAGACAGAGCATGGGCAAGAAAGGGTAATGGTAATTAGAAATTTAAAAACATTTTTTTCAGCTTCACAAGATGAGAACTGGATGCCATCCTTGTAATCAGCTTTGTTCAGAAAAATTGCAGGAGATGTCACAAGGTTGGGTAGGCTAATTGAGTTAATGTCAATGCCACAAGGCATTTGGGATATGTTTCTGACTTTTGTTAATGCTTGAAGCAAGCATCTTACAAAGTCTACAAATAAATATTTTGGAACTCAGTAGCCACTATATATATATATATATATATATTACTTCTATGAGTAAGGATATATCTGTGGAAACTTGTACCAGAAGAACCTTGAAGCTGTCTGAATAACGCCTAAACTTTGCCCCTTGAACTAAAGAATAGGGCTATGACGACATTCTAGTAGACTCAGTCTTAAGTAAACTGAAAATGATCTTTTGGAGGGCTCTCCAGCTCTTTTCTCTCCGGAATATGCAGATCGCACCCTTGATCTAAGATTTAAGTACTAGAGTAGATCAACTATGATTCAAGCATTGGATGGATGAGGGAGGTTTTTCTAGTAAATGAATGAAAGAAAATAATAAACAAGAAGAAAACTTGGCTTGAAGTTTCTGATAAAATGATTTTTCATTTGTTATAATTCTAGATGGTGATCCTACAAAAAAAAGTCAAATGAATATGCATCTATGCTTGCCACTATAATACTTTTCAACTTAATTTGATTAAGCTTATCTAGAGTTAGTTGCCATGTCATGTAGGAATCAAAGGTAAACTCTTTCAAGAATCAGTCCCTGATTTGGTTTCTAGGTATTACATTTGTGCAGGTCATACTTGCCTCTTCTGTCGACAAAATCCAGAGTATTTTGTTAGTATCATTCATGATATTAGAAGATATAAGGAATGACCTTGATACTCCTATAGATGCTTGTTCTATGTCACCATCACTACATCCTGTAAGATGATTAGGTAAACAAGAACCATGGCATGAAAGACATTTTGTTTAATTATCCTACCCACCATTGCCGGCTATTCATAGTCATCTATGGATTGTAGTGAAGAAGTAATCCATCAATAACATATGGCAACCCTGCCTAGCAGAAGCAATGGAAATTAACAGCTTCATTTGCCCCGTCAATGGTCAATACAGGACATCATTTGATGTAACCTCAAACCAAATCAGCTTGGATTATCATAGAACAGTAACTAATCATTATTATTATATCTAGAAATGGAATATTAAAGGAAACAACGAATTAGCAGCCAGATATGCAAGTAGTGGGGAATGTTTTTAATAAGTTTAGCTGAGGAACTGCAGTAGAGCTTACAGGTCAATTGAGAAAAATACCATTGCTTTGTTGTGACACTGTTTGTTTTTAACTTGGATTTTGTTACGAGAGAATTGCTTCCCAATTGAGACCTGATGTTACATGCGTGTGCTCACAAAACTTGACCTAGTCAGCAAAAGGAAGATATAATTCTTTAATTTATTTTTCACTATACAGAAAAGGAAGGAATCTATACTCTGATGAACGGATTTCTTTATTTTGCCTGTTCAATGCCATACCATCTCATTATTGTAGAGCTTTTAAATGATTTTTCTATAGTTTTCTATGATTTTTCTCTGGTTTTATTACAATTTATTCTGATGATGATGATGGAAAGATTTAGAATATGAGAAATTTTGTTTTGTTTCCTTCTGAAGGTCTAAAATACAATTAGACGTGTTGGACTTTTAATCCCCACATAGAAAGAAAAGTTCGTGGACGGTATATATCACACCAACACCCCACCCCACCCCACCCCACAAACCCTAAAGTGTATAACTCCAAACCTTATTCAAGCAGTTCATTTGTTTTTCCATTAATCATAAGGGAAATAGAAGAACCAGACAGAGCAGAAAGGGGAAGTTGTGTTTTGATGGAGGGACTCATTCCTTTGGTCTGCAAGGCTTTCAGGAAGAACAAAACTCGGAGGCAATATGAGTGCCTTTCAGTTGGTGCTGCACTAAGTTACAACATCCCAGATTTCTACACTCACGAGGCACCTAAAAGTGAGCTACATTTCCAACCATCCATGGTGAACACAAATTCTCAGAAAAAAGTTCATCGGAGATTTTGGTCTGTTCATGAAGATTTCTCAGGTGGATTTTCGTCACCGGCAGTTCGTTCCACAACTGCTGCTTCTCCTCAGGCAAAGCAGCTTGCGAGGTTCAGGAGCCAAAGAGTTTAGCCCTGTGTAACAAGCGGCTGGAAATGACACTTCCGGGATCAAATGTCGCAAGATCTTGATCCCTTTTATTTATTTCTTTTTCCTGTAATATTTCTTTTCCAAACTAGATGAGGTGATAGAAATAAGGTAATGTTCCAGCTGGGGCATCTTTCTTCTATGTGATGTAGCCTGTAAATGGTGATTATCTGTAAAGCTCCTCTAGAGAGCATGCGACGAGCTTGCTTCCAAGGATTTGGTCTTCTTCCATAGGAAAAAAAAGTTGGGAGTATAATTATCTCACTACAGCAATTGTTTTTCTCTTTTCTTCTCCACTATTCATTGCGTTTTTTTAAGCTAGCGATCCATTTCCAGGAACAGATTTTTGTTACAGAGAAGGAATAGATTTCTTGTTTAATTTCACGTTGGAGCCCTCATCAGTTGCGTTGCCACCAATGTGTTAGAAAAGATAGAGTACATACCAGCACATGTGAAAGCAAACGCAATGATGTTGATGCCATCTGTGAATAAGAACATTGACTGACTAATCTTGGCTCGGGGTGTGTCCAATGAGCTGTGAGAATGACTGCTTTAATTGGTTTTTGCGGACAATATTCGCTGCACTACTGTTTGTGACAAGGAAAGGATTTTACGTTTTCATTCACGTTTTGGAAAATGAAAATGGTTTTAGTTCTTTTAATTGGACAAGTAAATGATGAACAATTAAGCAGTGAATGTTTGTTGTCTAAGCATTTATCTTCGTAAATTACGTTTAAAGCCGAAAAGCATTATTTTTTTATGCTTTTTGATTGAACCGTCATTTCCACCGCGTCGATGAATTTTAAGGGCCCATTTAGCTCAAGTGATAATCAATGAAGCAGAACTGCAAGGTATGCAAGTTTAGCGCACACGATTTTGGATACAATGGAGGGATTGGAGGGTCCATTTAGGCAACCTGAACTAGCTTATGCTTGCTTGATCATGAGCTATTTCTGTTTGTGGGTGGGTAAAAGTCTAAGTTTGGAACTTTCCTTTTAGCACGATGGTGAGAAAAAAAACAGAGAAACTTAAATGATTGGCTCTCCCTCTCTCATTGAATGACTTTGGAAGCGAATTATGTTCAGACAAAACCAGAGCAGAACTCGAGACTTGGAAGACAAACAGACGTCATAGGTTGCGGAAATTTCCAAGAATGTTGTTAAATTTAACAACCTCATTGAACATATTCAAGTTTAGCGATGATTCCAAGATGGACCAGAGGATGTAGAAATGAATCCCAGGTAGAGTAGTTAGCCGTGGTTTGGTTGTGCTTTGACAAAGTAGCCCCCATTAATGGAGATGTCCATGTTTAGGTTTTGGTGGTTGAGCTCTCCACTTGACCAGACTCCTAACCTGTCAAGGAAGCATTTGTTTATTATGCCTTGGCATTTGCCATTGATTCTAGCCCTCGGATTCTACTCCAAGTGCAGAAGTCCATTTAGCGACAGTAGAATTTTTAAAATAACTTTAAAAACACCAAATAATCTATTAATTTGAAGAGGTGGGCATAGACTGACTTGGTCAGTATGGCAATAAATGCCTTGTGACCCTAATGTTCATGACCTGTCTTGCAGGCGTATATGGATATTTTTTATTTATTTTCTAGGTTAATTTTCAGAGGAAAAAAAAAGTGAGTTTATCTAAATGCATATGGTCAAAATAACGGGTGCGTCTTTTAAATCGTCCGACAAGATAATTTAATCTTGATTTATGTATGAGTTGGTCCGAGAATATCCAAATACACCCTTGTTTTTAAGCATTCAGAAAAAGAAGAAAAGAATTCTTTCCCAGCTTCCTTCGAATTTAAATCTCAAATGATGATATAAAAAGCATATCAACTTGCCACCAAATCAAGCAAGTTAATGACATAGACATGAGCACTGATTTTCCTGCGTGTGGTTATTGTTTCTTAGCAGCGCATTTGTCATTGTAGTGGAAATGGTTTTGCCAGGGCTTGGATAGGTTGATAAGGTCATGGATTAACCTGACAGGTTAATTAGATTTTACTGGGTTTTTGTTTATCCCAATCTTTTATTTTATCCACACCAATCCAGCTATCCAGCTATCCAGCTAGCCACTGAATCAACTAGATCCAAGTTGACATATCATGCTGATCTAGGTTTAATAACTATGAGCTCCAGTGGACAAAGCTACCTAAATGTAGAATAATGAATAGAAGGGTCGAAAAAATGTCAAATTATTATTATTTTAAACCCCGCTGTAAAAATAAATAAATAAAAGATAAATAAAGGGTGAAACATGATTTTTCCCTGTGCTAGCATGACTTGGTTTTCAAGATTGGATGCATCTTTGAATTTACAAGGTCAGGCAAGCATTTTGAGATATTCATCAACAACTTGTGCAAAGTTGCATTTCTTTCGCGGAGAGAACACATGGAATATGATATATTAAAAAAGAAACTAAAGAGTTGATTACATTGTTAAAGAAAATGGAAAAGCAAGAGAAAAATTAAGGTGCACTAGTCAAATTTGACATCTTAGCATCAGGAGCAAATAGGGCAGGAAGCAACCATGCAAAGAAACCCAAGTTAGTTTCCTTGTTGAATCTCCGAGAAGCGTACTCCACCAGCATATTCCAAAGGTCTCCCACCGTCCATTCATGTGACAGGATCCATTGACTCACCTGCAGAACAATAACTGTATTCAGCAACAGCATGGCTTTGAACATAGAATATAAAAATTACAAAGACTGTAGTTTAAGCTTAATCAATTTCTTGGAGTAAATTGTTTCTGCGCTTTCATCAAGAAATGTTCACAAGTGGTAAGATTAATACAAGTACCTGATTCAGGTTCTGCGACAATTTAATGCCATATGTGTAGTACAAAACAGAAGGTCTTGCCGCCTGAAACAAATGCACCTCGGTTAAAGGAAATCTCAGTATGGAACAGGAGGAAGGTAAGCTAGAGGAGATAGAAGTTTCGCTAGCAGTGGCAACACACAAATTACTAGTAATTTCATAATGGTTTATGTTACACACAAATTATGTGCATGTTCGTGATGGTAATCCTACAGCTGTCTGGCAATCAATATGTCCTACAGAAGGTCAAGATGCAAAAGCTGCTGCTACAAACAGGCACGCATCAACTCCCCTACATAGCTTTTGCAAGTAGAGCTCGATAAAAAGATTACCTGAGATGCTGCAAGCCACTGAATCATGGTCTTTAGTTCAGGATCTCCACCAAAAGCTCCACACCCCCAATTCCCTGTAGCAATACCAATTTTATCTTCAAGGTCAAGACACCAACTACCCTTCTTGTTAGAATATCCGATCACTTGGTTTATGTATTCTCCTCGGTTCATTGCAATTTCAACAGAAGTTGAGGGGGCTTCATCCATCTATTTCCAAGCATGACAACAAGAATTGAGAAAGAAATGTAATAATGGAAGAACCATATCAATCATTTTGTGCATGGGCAGGTTCATATCATTCTGACTATGAAAAATAAAAAGACAATGAAAAGCAAAATGCTCAGAAAACTGGTGGAGATCGCACCGGAAAGTCCTTCACCACAACATCAGTTTCTTTATCAGTTTCCATACACTGAGAACCTTGTGAGCCATCATCTTGAAACAGTCTTTTGTGATGGTCACAATTAGATTGATCCAAAAAGCCACAGAATGCCTTGTTGGCCTCCCTGCCACAACCAAACGAGTAGGACTCAGAGAAATTAACAAAATCAACTAAAAACCCTCCTTGGCAATCAGATTGCACATAAATCCTGACTGTTCGACAAGATAGTGAGCCATCAGTTTCACAGGTTTCATATTTAGGCAAGGAAGCCATGTAGAAAGAAAAACAAACAATCCAAAATGCAATAGGTCTCTCAAAGTTAGTTTCATCAATCTACACAAATTAACAACTTCACTTGAAACAAATTTATTATATGATAAATTCTAAAGCAGCATTTAGAAGGCATGCAAATTATTGGTTATGTATGAGTAACGAATTTCAAACACTGTCACCAAGGACAAGTTCATCTATTTCATAAACAAAGCTACTTTAAAAGGTATTTTCACAAAACATTGTTTTTTCTTTTTTCTCAAAAGAAAATCACAACAATTTTCATGGAGGTTCAATCAACATGCACAACCATTTGGTGTGCATGTAAAAGTCTAAATGGAACAACATGAAACTAGAAGAGAGTCACATTTGGTTTGCACAACCACTTGTCACATGTTCATCCTTTTTTTTTCTTGTTTTGTTGAGAAATACTATTTGTCATGTTGATAACTCACTTATGGAACCATGTCACACTCTTCTATAAGTTCTCTCAAAGAGAAACCTGCCTTTCAATTCCATATGCAAGTCTGTGTGGCACTGGAAAACCAAATTTTACATACCGAAGCAGGTATTTGCACTTATACTGTCTCATCCCTGCCCTGCATAATGCATCAATGGCAACAATCCTGGTTTTACATCTTCTGAAACTATCAACATTCCTTTTGTCCACATGGTCACCAGAAAAACAAAAAGAAGAGGCGTACCTGCAGCAGTCAAAGAGGAGACTGTGATAAGAAATTGACTGCAACATTAGTTAATTGAAATCAATATTCCATTCTTACAGGAATGCTTGTTATTTCAAATTCAGCAGATAAAAAGAAAAGTTTGTATCTCAACGTTACTAAAGGAAGGATAACAAACAAATAAGTATAATCGTAAGCTAGTTAATCAATGATTAAAAGTTTACCATTATGTAAAAATAGTTACATTTGAACCAACAGGTATAAAAAACAGATATAAAGATAAACCCTCCACAAAAGCTGCCTACATATTAATTCATGATGATACTCATAACATGTCATCACAAAAACATTAGGTTGACATTTTGGAGAGTATGACTATGACACCTATAGATGATCATATATTGCACAAATCCATCAAGTTATATGGAATAAGTCATTTTAATTTCTTAACATTCTTGCTTACTGCATGCATCAGCATGTAGGATTCCACAAAGTAAAGA